GTGTGTGTGTGTGTGTGTGTGTGTGTGTGTGTGTGTGTGTGTGTGTGTGGGTGCGTGCATGCGACCCGTAAAATGAGAGCCGTGTCATCAGCAAATGCCTCCAATCTTCCATTAATTAAGTTAATGGAACACATATCAATGATATAGGCTAAAAACAAAGTCGGACCCAAAATACTACCCTATGGAACGCCATGCTCCACAGGAAGCTCCTGATTCAGAAAAATCGCCAATTTTGACACATTGAGTACGATTCGAAAGGTAGCTCTGAAATTTCCAGCAGTTTTCCCCTAATTCCAAGCTTTTCAAGTTTGGAACATAATCGAGTTGTGGAAACTGTGTCAAAGGCCTTTGCTAGGTCAATAAATATCGCGACGCATTTTTCATGATTGTCTAAAGCTTTAACAACATGATTAGTAAGATCGTGAACTGCGTCATCGGTAGACTTGGCGTTCCGAAAACCGAATTGTCTATCAGACATGAGATTATTTGATTCAAGATAATTTTTAAGACGTACGTTAAGTGTTTCCTCTAATATTTTAGACAAGGTGGGCAAAATCGATATAGGACGATAATTGTTGACAAGGTCTCTTTCCCCGGACTTCTATATTGGATGGACTACTACATTTTTAAGTATATTGGGAAACACACCGGTAGATAAACACAAACTTATAAGGAGTGTAATCGGTTGAATTAGAACATTATTATGTTTTTTTATAGCCATGAAAGAAATTCCATTTATGCCAGAGGCGCAATTAGCACGCAAGAAATTAATTATTTGTTTTACTTCAATCTCGTCAGTTTCCAACAAAACTATAGAGTTCCAGATGTTTTCTATATTTATTGGTTTATGGGCATTAGATGCACTGGCTACGCTATCTGCTAAATTTTTACCCACATTAATGAAAAAAATATTAACTTTATTTACCGATCTGGCAGGTGAGTTGCCCACTTTTAGCAAATCTAGGGCACTAGAATAAGTTTTGCCTATACGGGTGACATCTTTAATAGCACCCCATAATTTCTTGGGATTCGATTTAGCATTTGTAAGTACATCCTTTTCCAAATTGTTTTTTAAGGTTTTTTAATAACTTGTTACACAAATTACGGTATCTTTTATATGTAATTTTTAGCACTTCATTATTAGGAGAAGTTTTTATTTTCTTATACATCCTATCTCTATTTCTCATGCACCTTAGGACTCCCGGCGTTATCCAAGGTTTAATAATTCTTAGGCGATGTGGTATGACAGACGTCTTAGAACACATTCGAATGACTCTGGATAATGACTTTGAGAAGTACTCGAAAGCGGCATTTGCATCTGAGCATTTATAGATATAACGGAAGTTAAAGTTGTTTATATACTTATCTAATTCAATGAAATCAATTTTTGTTGACGAATTAAGTGCTCTAAATGTTGAAATATTACTCAGTGCAACATATGTCTCCGCATATTCCAAAAACATTCTATATTTATTGTAATAAAGATAATATCTCTAACAATGGGGGGCTGTTCCATTCGGTATGTGGGAAAAATAGCAAAACATTACATTACAAAACAAACGGAATCACATTTCATCGGTAACGTTAAACTGGTCGATTTGAAGTGAAACAATTGACGACACCTGTCAATTGTTTCGAATTCGGGTTAGCGAATCGGAGCACAGCTGACATGGCAATGATATGGCAGAACAGTTTTCGAACAAATGAAATAACATCTCGTCTCTATTTCTGGTTATATATTTGATGGAATAAGGTGTTTAATATCCGTTACGTCATAACTATAATCATTTTCTGTTTGGAAACAGTTGACACTTTGACAATAGAATTCTCTGCGTTTGTCTTACGTTAAACTTAGGGCGAGTATAACGTCGAGAGAGAGGATCTAAGAGCTTATGCACACGACGTATTTTATAATTAAGATAGACGCACTGTAAACGCATGTATGTATCACGTATTTTGATAAGAGATAGTTTCAATTTTAGTTTTGTTTGTTAATTTCAGTTTTTTTTGAAATGAAACAGCAACATGAAATCCTATATAAGCGTCTTATTTGCAACGCGACGTTTGCGCGCGTTTGAAGCGATTCACTACAGCGCGTCTGCGGCGCCGTATATGCGCAGATTACGCGCATTTAATGCGCGTATAAAATGCGCCGTCTGAAAAGGCTCTTATTTAAGGCCCAGCGCAAAATGAAAAAGAACATCTCTTACGATATCGCGAACGTTCTCGCGTTTGCCGCTACCCAGGCTCATAACCGATTGATTCAATCGCATACCGGCGCCTTCCGCCGAAGTATCTCCTAGCGTGCTCTTCAATACTACAGAGAAAGATGTTCTGCGATACTTCGAAGTCGGTCATAAAGCATTGAAATTTATACCTTATATAAATTGAAATATTTACGGGTGGCGGACGCTGTATCGAAAAATAGAACGTGGCATGTTTCAATCCAGCGCTGGACACTGGATTAAAACGTGTTTAGAGTAATCTAGTATCAATCCAGCGCTGGAATCCAGTGACGCTGGATCCAGCTTCTGGACTAATGTAAATCAACTATTACGATTGTAGGTTTGAACTTAACTCAGTGTCTGTACAGATTTATATTCTTAGGTAAGTTGAATATAGGTTACCAATAAATATATTGTTAAAGTTCTTACGTCTTTTAGTTATCATTTTTTTGTTATTAGCAACGGCAACTTGTAATTTTATTATTAATACTAAAATTCAGGCAGGTCAGATCGAAGAATTTTTGCTTGTATTCGACATGCATATGTATTCGAAGGAATTGTCCTTTGTGTTAAATCTTTGTATAAATTAATAAGAAACTATAGTCGTCACCAAATAAAAGGCTAAATTTGACACTTGTGATCGCGACGTGAATAAGGATGTGAAATCGGTAACCGCATTAAACGATTTTCACGAAAAACCGATCTAACATTTTATGAGTTTGTGATTGTTTACATTATTTTTTGGTTCATTGCTTTTTAGTTGTAGATCGTACGATTTATATTTATTGAACATTATACAGTTAAATATAAATAATAAGCAATATAAATGATCACAACGACAACCTGTACTTGTTGTTGTAGTGTAGTACATACATTACAGGTATATTTACAGGTACATTAGCAGAGGTCACAAGGACAACCTGTAGTCATATAGCAAAAAATAATTCTGACGTAAAACAAAAGGCTTCATAATTTAAGTTTTTATTCACTGTTATACGACCCAAAATCGTCAGTTGAGTTTTATCAATTTCTTTTTCAATTATATTATCAATACATACTACATTTTTATCAAAATCTTTCTTCATTAATTTTGTCGTTTTTCGAGTGCCGCTGAATCGGTATCAGTGTTGCCAATTCAAAATTTGTAAAAAAGAAAAGGAAATACAAATCTGCATGGCTTTACAGCTATGCGTACGGGGCTCTTTAAATTTTTGTTTTAATATTTAATAAGTCAATATTTTTTTCCAAAATCGAAGTGACATGGTTAAATTCGACGATTAATTGGTTATAACACTATAATAAAAAGAAATAGATTGAGTACGTAACTGTTTTCAGGACGTTTCGGAGTAACTCCAAATTGCATTTATTTTTGGAATTCGTGCGAAAATAGTACTTGAAATGTATTTTGTCATGCTTATATAGCGTTTCACCAAAATTTGTGTGTTTTTTTTATTTAACTCAATAAATAAATAATTGTTTGTTTATTGTTTCGTTGATTGCAATGAAAGTTACATACTATCATCTGATTTAGCTGGCAAATTTAGTCTCTTATTTGGTGACGATTAAAGTGGAGTAATTTCACAAAGAATAAATGATTTAGTAAAATACCATGGTACTTTATAAAATCGACATTAATAGTAACTTAGTTGGGAGAATGCTTGCCTTCGATGACGAAGTTTATAGTTCGATTCCTTGTGGAGTGCTTTATCAATAGGGCGGAGCAGTATTTTAATTACTTATAATTGAAATATGCACATATCTACACAGGGTAATTTGTAAAATGCTAACAATCCCGCAGGGCTATGAGTTGACTTTTCATAATTCAACAGATTCCAATCAAATAAATATACACATCAAAGGGATCAAGTGCGTTTTTGTCAATTTACTGAAATCAATTTTTTTTATTAATTATTTGACACCAAAGGTTTTAGCCAATTTCATAATTTAAAAAATAAATAATTTTATAATTATTAATACAAAGCTCGAACACTCAGAAAAAAATCCTTCCATTCGGCCGGATTCGAACCGACGTCTTCTATCATACCGTGCCAGACGCTATACCAACTAAGCCACGGAAAGAACCAGCGGATCTCACTAATTTTTCTATGTGTTTGTTGTCGTGTACCAAATACAAAGGTATTTGGTTATTTCAACGACTTTTTAGCCGTTGCCGTAAAATAATTTTATGTCATCCATTAAATATTTTTATTTCACTATAATAGCATCATCAAGTATTTAAAAAACTTTAACTGCCTCTGTGGCCGAACGGTTACCATGCCGGACTGCCACGCAGAGGTCCCAGGTTCGATTCCCGGGCCGGGAGAAATATTTGTATGGCCTACAATTATTTCTCTCGTGAGTTTGGGTGTAATTTGTGTTTGTCTATATGTGTGTCCATGGCACCCGCGACACAGGGTTTCCCTAGTGCGGGGCTATGTATAGTGTGTGCGTTAAAAAAAAAAAAAAAAAAAAAAAAACCTTGGCCGGTAGACAGTTTTGTTAGCTTACCATCAGGCGTACGACTTGTTCGTCCCGTCACTTGATATCATAAAAAAAAGTTCATTTCCCAAATTGCTCCTACCTGGAATCGAACCTACGACTTCCGCCAAACAGTAATGTAAACAATACTGCGTTTCAATTAATTTTGACGGACAAGGGTGCTGGTGAAACTAAATGCATATAGGACTTGTCAAGCTTAATCCTGTAACTGTAACGCGACAGCAGTAACGAGGTTCTAGTGTGGACGCGTGAAATAGTCTTCACGCGCTAAAAAGAGCTCCTGGTTATTGTCAGCTCACTGCGAACCACACGCGAACCATTTTTGTGATCTGTGACTGTTATTAACAGGTGTGTCGTTTACCATCAGACACTATGTTCGTCTCGTCACTTGATATCATAAACACAAGATGTATACTGTAATGTAACACATCTGTAAGGTATTCCCAATATCCCTCCCATCAGGTGAGCTGATAATAATAAAGTGATTGTTTAAACAGTAAGCACCCAGTTACAAAAGTTTGCGAAAGTTTAGAAAGTGACCGTCCAGTTACCACGCTTTCTCTATTATTGGCGAATCTGAATTCTATTTACTAGGCAACAATAATTAAATTCCTTTGAACATTGCAAACGCGCGGTCGGCGGAAGTGGCCTGGAAGCTGTGCAGAAGCCGCCTGGAAACAAGGACAAGTCAACCTCGCCCACGCGCCCGGGACGCTCATTTGAGTTAAAACGTAAAAGCTAAATACATAAAGCGTATTTTGCCATAACAGTTAAATGTACGCGGTCGCTGCGCGACGGCCACGTGTCGAATAAACGCGCCCTTATACTTTCCCTAATGCTTTAGAGAGGAGTAGGAGGAGGGGAGAAGGGTAATTACAATATAACATGATATAACGGCGAAAAAATAAAAGAGAATTATGTTGTTATAAAATGTTTTTCATGTATATAACTTTGTAAATAATTAAGTAAAATTATTTTAGTTATAATTCACCAAAAATACACACATCAAAAGTGTCTAGGGATCAAGGTATTTTTTTAAATATCTGATTACCCTGTTAAAATCAAACAAAAATAGGTTTATGAATTTATTAAATTTATATTTTTTTACATTATGAAACTGACCGAAAAAACCTTTGATGTTAAAAAAATAATTAAAACACCTGTTTGGTCCGTTGACACTTTCGACATGTATGTTAACCCGTTGTGTGTGATTCGTGACCGTCTAGGAACAGTTTTTTTAATGAAATAAATACAGCTTTTCCGTACAAAATGATACAATGAAAAAATGTAATAATAATATTTAATGAATATATTGCACATTTAAAATTACAATGACAATAAAACTTTGTTTGCCGTAATGCGAATGACAGTGGTTCATCATGCGTTCTTATAAAGCCTTTAAACTTGTGTATCACAAAGAAATAAATGATTTATGAAAATTTTTTTGTGAACAGATAACAGTAACAACTGTACTATATACTGTTAATTTTGCATACCCAAAATTTGGCTGGACATAGTGAAACTACACTTAAGCTTATTTTGTAACGTGTATATTAATACAAACACACATACACCACACACACGCACACGCTCATACCTTGGTCGCATATCCAGGGAAACCCAGTATCGCGGGTGCCATGGACACACACAGAGACAACCATAAATTATACCTAAACTCACGAGAGAAATAAATGACCGTATAAATATTTCTTCCGGCTCAGAAATCGAATCCGGAAACTTTGCGTGGTTCGTGGTTCGTGGCATACTAACGATTCGGCCACGGACGCGGTTACGACCTGTGTTTTAACTTAAAAAAAAAGACTTATGAAATTATGAATCATGATGTACGGAATAGCTTATTTATCTCTCGATTTGGGTAACCTATCACAGTACTTGATTTTTGTTCCGAAATAACGTTTGATCGAATTTCCATTACACCGAAAACCGAATTATAACGCAACCGTTGTTCTTCCAGGATATGTTGGATGTTTATCGCAAATACACGATTAGGTTCGGTTAGGTTAAGTTAGGTTTAAAAGAAAAAACATTTTTCTCTCAAAATTACTTTCGAGGTTATGAAAATTCGAGCAGACGTTATTTCTAGAAAATGTCATCTCGCACTACTAATAGGTGAACCTCGATTTGGTAGACCTATAGTAATACTTATTCGTTGTCATGAGTTCATTCACCTTTCTAAATTTCCCACCCGATAAGATAAGAACCACCCAGTACTAAAATACCACTAGCCTCAGGAACAGTCTTAAAAAGAAAAATGATTGATATATTTTATATTAACATGGACGAGTAACTCAAGAAGTCTACCAATCGCGATACAAGACAGCGGAGTTGGCTATTTAATATCTATTTGGTACACCAGATGTCGCCACGAGTACCAATTAGCTATTTTTGTAACTAATTTGTTTTACATTAACGAGCTGCAATTTATCAAAGCTACTCCAATTTCTAGTGATAACAAACAAATCAACCCTATGATGGCCGTTTTGACGTTTGTCCGCTCCTCAAGTTTCGTATTAATTCACAACTACGTTGAAGGAGCTAATTTATTGATATACATTGTTGTCAGTAGTGACGTGCAGTAAAATATAGGGATGTATAATTTTACGAAACAACTCGGCATTTGTTTTTCGATATTCGCAAGTTTGTGCTGTCCAGCACAACTTCTACCTTCGCCAAACTCGCGTCAAAGCTCAATGCTAAATAAAGCAGTTTCGGATTGACGATTTAATATGTAAACATTTATATAGGAAATGAAACTATTTTTCCGGATTTAAATCGCGTATATTACTTTTTTCAAACAAACCGACGTTTCGGACCATTTACAGGTCCCGTGGATGTCCACAACCATGTGGTTGACTACGAGATTTAAATGCGGAAAAATAGTTTCATTTCCTATGTGTAACAAGCGCCAAAACCTAAGAACTCGATATAAACATTTTTATTTTCGTTTTATAAAAACTATTTAATCAGCTACTCCTTGCAGTACTAGTTATAAATCTAAAAACGTTTTTTTTTTCGATAATGGATTGAGATTTGACCTCACTATTGTAATCTGTCAAAACGGCCATCATAGCGTGCCGGTATTCTTTTATTGTGTTTAGGATTAGCGCCATCTAAATGTATTGGCAAGCATTAACTTCTAAATTTCTTTATGACACATAATGCCATCTATTGTCAATGTTCTGAAATAATTTTAGCTCATGGGTAATATGTGACTGACTACTTGTATTTCGTATTACAGAGGAATTAACTAATATCTACGGCTATTTACATAATGTAAACTACTTCCATGCTATCGATCAACGCTATCTTGATAATAGATGGAACTTTGGCCTTTTCCAGAGTTACGATCTGTACTATAGAGATTAGCAGTCTTCTTAAGTTACTGATCTGAAATATTAACTAATTCACATTACTATAAAGTTTTTTTTATTATCCCTAAGAAGTTTTCGTAGAGCGTCTCCGTACTGTAAAGAAAACAAAGTTTATTTATTATTTTTTAATTAGTATTGTGCTTTAAGAAAAACAATCATGGCCCTCTTTGTCATAATAAACGATATTTCAGTAAAGTTGATACTATTGACGCAATGTTTAAATTGAACATAATGGGAATACAAAGATCGAACACGATCGATCCGGCTGAATTCGAACCAGCGACTCCAGCAAACCGTGTCTTACGCTCTCCTAACTGAGGTACGGCACGAACCAGCAGATCTTACAAATTTTTCTATGTGTTTGTTGGAGATCTTTGGTTTTGGTTTTTATCGACTTTTTTGTCGTAGCGCCTCTCTATGGGAAATCTATGAAAGTTTTTCTTCACTCAATCAGCTAATTTTGAACTAAACCGATTGATTAACAGTATCAATTAAATCGGACGTAATGGTGGAATTACCATTACTGCGAAACGGAATGGAAGCAAACTTCTGTAACCATAGCAATGCAACATAGCAAACTATAGGAAGTAGAATTTAATTTAAAGTTATATGCCAAGAAAGTAGTAGAATCTATGCCAGTGTGCTGTGTGGAGTTGTGTGCGAGATTAAAAGGTATCGAGTCATCTGTAGTTGCTTAAAGATACGGAATCAACTGGAGTAATTGAGTGCTTTTCCGATTGGGATTCTCGCAGCTACCGTATCGTATCTATTTCGTACGGGATGTATCTAATTGACATGAAGTTCATTATGCTATGACTATAGTAACTCACTTCCATTCCTTTCCGCGGTAAATTTAATTGAGCCATAAGGTTAAACGTTATTGTCGCAATAGTGTGCGAGTCTTCCCCAGGGCAATGCATTTTGTCCAAAATCCTCTCCCTGGAGATCACTCGTTTTATACTTATACTATAGCGTAAATTGAACTAGGTGTGTATAATGATATTGTAGCAAGTAAAGATCTACTTACATTCCATTGCTAACAGTCTTCATAAGATTGAACACATATCCGGGACATACATCTGCATGCATAAATCGCGCGTGGTACAATGTTCCTTGACTTATACAGAACAGTAACTCTGGTAAAGGCACACTTGTTGGCAGAATCTTCTTGTCGTAGAGGATTGTTGAATAAAGCTGTACAGAAAAACACATGTGTTGATAAATAGTTGATACTATTCATCGACTCTTATTACAGTCAAACACCGAGTTAGAATTGAAAAAATGTCTTGTATGAACCTTAGCTGCAGCAGTGGCGGAAGCTATCGACATTCCAAGGTTCGGGTTGAATAAGAACGATAGTCCAGCAAGGTATCCGGCAGGCAGGGCAAATAACGCCGAGTCGCAACCTTTGCTACGACATAAGTAGCATATCACAGCCTGCAAAAATACAAATAATGAGGTATTTGAGGAAAAGCAAATTGTTTAGTGGCTTTGGTCAGGGATCCGTCTCTGTACCTGCCGCCGAGTGTATCGCCGACAGTGCAAGCACACTGACAAGTCTTCAATTTACATTACAATCCTTGTACAACCCCAGAATTCGGTCCGGCACGACTGCACACTGTGGGCAACGTTATTTTCACCTCTCTGAGCGCGTGCTTAGGTTCCTTTTTCCTTGTTGAGTGTAACTTGTATAAGACTAACTATTAAGTAATCTGTGCTTAATCTGAACACCCGTTCAGCTATTTTCAAATAAAATGAAATAATCTCTACGATCACACAGTTAAAACGTTTGTAAACACTATCTGGCAAAATAAAATGAACTAAAAATAAACAAGTCGATTAACAAACACAAGGAAGTGCAGAGGCACGTTTCGTAATACGTAGAATCAACAATAAAGTGAAATTTCCTACTGTACCCTTATAATATAATCGACGATTCCATGTGTGTCTAAGATCTTGTTGACTTAGAAAAGCCATTGTCAATGTCATGCATTATTCTGCTATGCTTTCACCTAGTTTTCAAACCTAGCCACGAAATCATCATTTATAACCAAGTAAGAAAAAAAGCAATGAAAGTGATTTAAGTCTAGATTAATATCAGAACCCCTGTCGCCAAAACTCACCCACTCATAATTTGAAACACTATAAATTCTTGCTAATGATTGGTCGTACTTTTAAATTTTAAAAGGAAATGGCAATTTTTGGACTGTTAATATATTTTAAACTTTATTCTGTTGGCATATTGTTGAAAGTTCAGTGGGACTTGAACCCACGATAGATCAATCACAATATTTATACTGGTTTTCGGCATTCGTCGCCGCCAGTGATAACTAGTGAGAAATTTTTGAAGAACCTTTTCACCGCAGCCGGTATTTTTACAGCGGCATCTGTACTGACGTAGATGTCGCTTTTTGATCAAATGCATATATTATTGAGATTTTTTTGTGGAATGAACCTAAACAAATTTGAACCCACGACCATGCTGCGGCATGGTCAAACTAGTAACAAAACTAGCGAACTTATTTCACAAAAAATTTCAACAATATACATTTGTAAAATTTTGAAGGCACTATTTAGAAGTCAAATAGTCATACTCTGTAAATACCAATATATCCGCCAAAGAACAGCGCCATCTTGAAATGTTTTCCTCTGATGGAGGACAGAGCCTTGAGGGGAGTCATGATCTTGGGCAGCAGGACTCGAACCATGGATATTGCTAAACCCACGCCGAAGTATGTCGAATAACCCTGAAATGAAAGAAAAATAGAATTATTAAATGTATGTACCTTTATTTTTATGAAATATATTGCTAAATATATGACATGATAGCTCGTAGGTTCGCCAAGTGCACGCGTGATGTGAAAATAATATTATTCAGATCATTCTGCACCAACTTTTACATGTGTAGCCTATGGGCTAATCACAGCCGCCGCACCTACGAAGCTCTCCGCGTCCAGTATAATAACGCTTTCGGAGCGGTACTGGGGCTGCCCCGCTGCTGCAGCGCCTCTGACATGTTCTGCGAGGCGCGCGTGGATGGCTTCCATGCCATCATGCGCAAGCGCGCCGCCTCCATGATGAACAGGGTGCGGGCCAGTTCCAATATCATCCTGATTATGATTGCGAACAGACTGGACTGTCATAAATCATGCATGTGCACTACATGTAAACCAGTTATTTAAAACTAACTCCTAGTTCATAAGCTATTTACTACCACAAATATGAGTCATGTAAAATTTACTCGAAATAAATCGTTTAATATTAATAATAATATCTGCGTTTATCAAAAGCTTTGACGAGTGTTTAAGGCTAGATACAGGCACATATTTTGTGTCCCGCCTAACTGAACACTGTCTCTCATGACACTGACATTTCATCGCATACTCCCGAAGAAGACATTGGAAGAAAACGTGTAAAGTCCTTGGTCCGCATTGAACCAGCGTGGTGGACTATAACGTAAGTTCTCTCCTTAGGCGAGACCCGTGCCCAGAAGTGGGTTGTAGATGACGATATTTCTAATAAGGGTTGAATATATTAGCACGCCAAACCCTAATTCTATTACGGCGTCTCCTCTGTTTATAGGTAATTAATTAATTTAGTTTCTATCATGTGTGGGGTGACAGTAATGGATGGCGTACTATAAACAAATAAATTATCATCAAACATTGGATAATTGATATTCTTTACTAAGTATGGACGATTATTGGCTTCATATATTGGACTTTGGCCGGTTTATCGTGACATAGCGGTGAGTTTGACCCCTATGCTTAACATAATAACATCCTTACGTAAGAAGGTAATGCAATTAACACAAATATTTACGATTTACTATTTATTTAGATCACTCGTCGAAAATGCTTTGTCACATGGAAGTCATAAAAATAATACGAATTATATGACACAATTAATTACATATCGTCGGTGTTTTGTAGGAAGGGAGAACCGCCATTTCGAATTTTTCAGGGGAGCACGTTTTAGTTTCTCACGACTGTTACAAAATATTTACGTCTTGTTTTAAATTCAACTTTAAAACTTAAAGTTAATGAAAACCAAAATTGAACCTTATAACAGGACGTAAATATTTTAAAACACTCGTTAAAACCTGAAACATCCCCTGAAAATTTTTCGAAATGGCGCTTTCGCCCTTTCTACAAAACATAGACAATATATGTAATAATTTTATCTGTCTCAAATTTAAGCATAGACAAGTTCTCTACTAATATCGTTCGTTAAAATCTTTAAACTTCTTGTTTGAAACGTTTTCATTTTGCAAATATGACCTTATTACACCAAGGCTGCGATTTATACGGTGCTTACAAATTAGGTACGGACAATTTTGTATCAGAAGAGTCAATTTAAAATATTATTTTTCATTTTGACTGCGAAAAGGCCAGTGATAGAAATAATCTCAGTACACAGTACTACAAAAACCGACCTCAAAAGTACGTGGAATTATGTCTATTTGTTAAGTTTTATTGAAATGTCCTTAAATTGGCCACTATACAGGACTTGACACTGGAGATAATAAAAAATAAAGAGCGTTTAATCACTACGTAGTATCGTCATTGACAGTTATGTAATTAGAAATTAGCATTATAATTAGCATTGTGTAAACGTACATTTGTTCGATCTCACGCTCGTTCGTGATTGTAAGTATTTCTCCTTGTCAGTGAATGTTTATATTCTGTTTTCAAAAATAAATGTCTTAAAACATATTAAATGAAACTATTATTGCCGGAACCAAACACGAGTATACTAGTATTTAAAAAAAACCAACGTTTGGGGCTCTTTATAGGTTCCATGGTCGCGGTTGAATGTACACTAGATTATTAAAAAAAAAATTTATAAATTTCTCGACGAACTAACATATCGTAGACAAACTTACTTCAAAGCGTAATTAGGAAACTATAATTAGGAAAGTATTTGGCTTTGAAAGTACCTGCACCTAATTAGCATCCTGTATAAATCTAAGATACACTAACAATTTCTATTTTTGTTTCCTGTTATAGTAGTAATATTTCGACACTGTCTTACATAGTACACAGTTGGAGGCAGATAGACAGGAATATGCCGAGATTTTGTCCTTTTCATTGACAAATTAGTATT